AAAAACAAATGTTTCCAGTTAGTTTTTTCCAATTGACTTTTCGTGAACTAGCTAGCTTTCTTCTTTACTCAGCAGCTAATCAGTCTCTGACAGCTGGTTGTTGGCTAGCTGTCCAAGTCTTGGCTGATCTAACTGATATTGCACGCTGATATCTATTTTCTGCTATGTTGAAGCACTAAATTAGAGTGACTCCTATAGATCCTAGAAATAAGATAAAAAGAGGTCTGTGTATTTTTCTGAGCAGACTGATCGCACACAGTTTAAGCACACACTTCTATGTATAGACAACACATACAACCCTTTCCATGAAGGTCAGAGCTGTCTGCTGAGGCTCTCCCGGAAAAATAAATCAGAAGCTGTGTTGAGGTTAGAGGGGAGGAACGCACAAATAGAAATATTTCCTTTGATCGAAAGAGAAAAATAGAGGGAAATAGCCGTCTCAATTCCCTCTTTTGGGGTTGTCAAAAGTATCGATACTCAAAAAAGTCTAGATACTAAAACGTATCCGGATACGATTCTCATTTTCAAAAGTAGGATCAATCTCAGAATGCAATGAAAAGTGGGTGGTGGTTTAATACACCATTGGATCCATCGATTACACAGATTGAATGAAAGAACCCCCCAACTATTTTTACCACAACCGAAGATGAAGAACAAATTTAGACACGTTGAATAATCTGCAAGTTCAACTAACTTTAAACTAATCTCAGATTGCCAGAATATATATCAAAATCATTCCAGAAGAAAAACAAAGACCACCCTAAATAGTACACTGGACTGGTTCAAACCCAAACGACCTAACCCTAACCCTAACCCCCATGACAGAGAAACAAAACATCTGTACCAGAACTAAAAATGTAAGGAAGTAAGCACTGATTTTCTCAAACTAAAAAGGCTGAACAAGACCAAGGCTACAGGCCTAAATGTGAGTGGAGGACATTCTGCTTTGTTCTACAGCCTAAAACCCACTTTCTTAAACTTTTATTGGATTAAGGACCAACTGGAACTGGTTTATGCCATCATCTCCAAACCTGACTATTTGAATGGATCCCTATGAGATTGAAGCATGACTGTCCATTGTTTTACGGTTTTTTACTAAAAAAAGTGTTATTTATTTGTTATTTATGAATAAATTTAGATTCTGGTGAGGTCCTACTGAGAGAGTTAAACCGTTAAGCATTAATTACTTGCTTTTATTTTTGAAAAACCAACCATTTACAATCCTGGGGTTAGGGTTAGGGTCACATAAGTTGTATAAATTCCTGATTTTACTGTTATTACGAAGTAATAACCAATGGAAGGATTAACAGAAAAGAGGAACCAGACTGGGAACTAGTGCCTGGTTCAGATTAGAAACAGTTTGGTCCCACATGAGAACCGGGAGAACCCTAACCCTAACCCTAACCCTACTTACATACCTTTAACTGGACATCTCTTACTGGAGGACCTTATTCATTTGGATATTTCTCAGTGTCTGCTTTTAAGATGGTAGAACCCCTTCTTAGACTTTTATAAACCATTTTTCCCCAACTCTACTTAGCCTTAAAAGACTTTAAGATACTTAAAGTCTCGTAAAGGGAAAGAGAGTACCGTAGTTTCATCAGGAATGAGACGCATGCGTTCGCTGTGTCTGTATGCTGTGTTTAAAGCCTCTAATCTGTTAACTGAGCTGAGTAATGAGCCAGTGTGTGTGTGTGTGTGTGTGTGTGTGTGTGTTTGTTTTCATGATATATCAGGACAACTTTACGAATACACACCCTCAATATCAGGACGCGTAGAAATATGAGGACACTTTTCATGTCCTCATTTTTTAGATGCCCCAAAATGACCCTAAACCAAATATCTCCATTGTCCTAAGAACCTTTGGAAAGCCACGTACACATTTGTCCTATTTCCGACATGTGTCCTTATATATAATGAAATCACGTATGTGTGTGTGTGTGTGTGTGTGTGTGTGTGTGTGTATGTGAACTGGGAGAAAAAGCTGTGCAATGCAGCAGCCCGGATACAAACGAGGCTTTTAACCGAGGGAGGCGTGTCGCGTTAGCACATGCTAGCAGGCCTGCTAGCATCAGAACCTCAGAGCGGCTAAGTGGTCAATGCTAAACGCTAAACCCGGCTGGATGCAGACATCTGAACCTGTCTGACTCGATCCGACGTCCCAAAAAACAAACCAAAAACATTCATTTTTCTGCCAAAGAACTGACGGAACAATGGTATTCTGGAGAAGGGATTGGATAGGCTGTGTAATGAGGCACCAATCTGTTACTATCCATGTAAAGTTCAGTTTCCGTCCCTCATTAAATGGTTTAGGACCCAGGAATTAGGAGTCAGCACCTTCCATTTTTCGGTAGGATGGTCAGACGTCACTTCTGGCGCCAAAGAAACCCAAAAAATTGGCCGTTTTAGAGGCGAATGGGTCCTGATTGGTCCAATTTAGAGACAGATGGGTCCTTATTGGTTGATTTTAGAGATTGGTGGTTCCTGGTTGGTCCATTTTAGAGACAGATGTGTTCTGATTGGTCCATTTTAGAGACGGATGGGTCCTGATTGGTCCAATTTAGAAACGTATGTGTTCTGATTGGCTGTTTTAGAGATGGATGGGTTCTGATTGGTCTATTTTAGAGGCGGATGGGTCCTGATTGGTCCATTTCAGGCAGGATCCTGCCCACGACTTTGACTGACAGCTGTCGTAACAATCTGAGCTGAATCGGAAAAAAATGGGACCAATCCAGATGAATTAGTTTTTTAATTTAGTGTTTTTTTTAATGGCGTCCTACCTGTGAAACGTACCTCCCCCACCTCTAATCAAAGTGAAGTCAGAGATGAAGCAGCTTTAGTTTCGTCGAGGGTGACGAATTAAAGAACGACTTCCACCTCGACCTAGGCTCCTCTCAGTGCGGTTAAGGGGCTAGAAAGCCAAACGTAGGCATGTTTAGCTAACTAAAGTCCACCAAGCTAGTCTGAGAGGCCGTTCTTTGGTCAGCCAATGAAACAGAAGGTGTGGGGGAGGACGACTTAAACATGCTAACGCCTCAGAAGCCTCATTTTGAGGATTTCTTTGGTTATTTCATGTCCTCAACCAATGAACTCTTAAACAGAGAGTGGAGAGCTGCCACTTAAACATGCTAACGCCTCAGAAGCCTCATTTTGAGGATTTCTTTGGTTATTTCATGTCCTCAACCAATGGACTCTTAAACAGAGAGTGGAGCACTACCACTTAAACATGCTAACGCCTAAGAAGCCTCATTTTTAGGATTTCTTTGGTTATCTCATGTCCTCAACCAATGGCAATTAGCTGGCTCATCCAGCCCAGGCAGGACCTAGCGACTGTTTACTAAATGAGAGTTGGGGTTGAGGAATGTTTCCATTACAAAAGGCCGGTTATTGGATTTGTTATGTCCAGTTGGCCAGCTCCAGTTTGAGCAGGAGAATACAGCTCTAAAAACACAACTCTGGAGTGAAGAACGCCTATGTGCTAACGCTCCTCTATCAGTCCGAGGGTTTGGGATGTTGCTAGCCAAAGCAGAAGCCTGGAAATTCCTGGAAGTAGCTCCGGAATCGCCTCTCCAAACCCTTCATTTTAGCCAAAGCTCAGACAGGCCTTCTAGTCCCATCTTATGAACCATCGTGTGTCTATCTAAGGTCACATGACGGGAACAGGAAGCTTTGGCACCACGCTACTAGCTTAGTAAGCTAACCGGAGCCAGCGCGGGGTATATCAGGCACCAGAACCCCGCCTTTCTGGGTATTTTGACGTTCCGCTGGAATCCTGAAAAGGCCAGGTCTGGGGACATTAGGCTGGTGGGTGGTGAGGGGAACCCTAACTGGGATGTTCCCCGCTGAGCTCAGACAGGAGACAGATACTGTTATGACTCTTTTACCCGTCACTCCCTTCTGTTTCTCTGTCTCCACTGAAAATAGGAAAGGCTAAACAGGTGTAGGGGGTAGGGTGGTGTGGCGGGTTAGTTTGGGCTGCAGGAGGAAAGAAATAGCATGGAGGCCCAGCTTCAGTTTGCAAAGATGAACAAGTTCATCTGGTTTGGTTTTTAGCAACTTTAACCCTACCTTTAACCTTGTATAATGGGTTTATATAGGGCAGGGGTCACCAACCTTTTTAAAAACGGAGGGCTACTTCATGGGTACTGAGTCACACGAAGGGGCTACCAGTTTCATGCACACTTCTGAAATAACACATTTGCTCAATATGCTTTTAGCTATACTTTATTAATAATCATTCATGATACTCATCTGTGACAACAAAATGGGAAACATATCAATATCCCAAATTTTATCTCTATTTATCTCAGCAACTGTTAAGTTTTCAGATCATCACTTACAGTACATCACTACGTTTACATAGTTTTCACTTTCCTTCATTTTCACTAGCCACTGACAAAACCATGTAGTTAGCATGGTAGCTTTTGTGGCACGAAGTGAAGTGTCTCTCCACATTGTGCCGCTTTACCCTAACCCCGCAAATCAGGCACACGCAGGCTTCTTTTACAGTCGTAAAAAAGAACTCCTACTCCCATTCGTTGTGAGAGTGATACGTTTTCTTTCGTTTTTCTCCCATGTTTTTGGGGTAAGAAACTGCGCCCGCTAGCTTACTCTCCACCGACACTGGTTTTGTTTTGTCACGTGCACAATACTGACCTTTGAACTAGAGAAAACTTAAACGTAATATATAATGAACATATTTTTAAGATATTGTCATTTTAAATCAAATTTATATGAATGCAAGTGTGATTGAAAAAGAATAGCAACGGAACAAAATTACATTTTAGACGCAGCTCACTATTGAGTTGTGCTATTTTTAGAACAGGCGACCTGGGCGACCTGGTGCCCGCGGGCACTGTGTTGGTGACCCCTGATATAGGGTAACCCTAACCCTAACTTTAACGTTATCATAATGGGTTTGAATAGGGTGACTCTAACCCTAATGTTATGATACAGGGTTTATATAGGGTTACCCTAAAGCCTAACTTTAATGTTATTATAATGGCTTTCTATAGGGTAACCCTAACCCTAACTTTAACCTTATTATAATGGATTTATATAAGGTTACCCTAACCCTAACTTTAACCTTATTATAATGGGTTTATGTAAGGTAACCCTAACCCTAACTTTAACCTTATTATAATGGGTTTATATAGGGGTACCCTAACCCTAACCTTAACCTTACTATAATGGGTTTATATAGGGGTATCCTAACCCTAACCTTATTATGAAGGGTTTATATAGGGGTACCCTAACCCTAACTTTAACCTTATTATAATGGGTTTATATAGGGGTACCCTAACCCTAACCTTAACCTTATTATAATGGGTTTATATAGGGTAACCCTAACCCTAACTTTAACCTTATTATAATGGGTTTATAGAGGGTAACCCTAACCCTAACTTTAACCTTATTATAATGGGTTTATGTAAGGTT